TTAGGGGTTTAGGGTTTGTGGGGCTTAGGGGTTTAGTGGACTTAAAGGTTTCGGGAGGGTTTCCTAAACCCTGTCCCAGGTCCCTTCGCCCCCGAAGTACCCGGCACAGAGCTTTATGGTCCAAGACAGTTGGGGTGCATTTAGGTAATCCTCTAGCTCTAGATTTTGAGCCCTTTCAGATTTCATCCGTAACTGCATGAGACAGTACAGGAATGGCAGAAGGATTTACGATTCAGGGCAGTCCTTGTTCTAGGCCCTAAGTTTCCTGAAGCTCTGCGACGAGAGTGTCCAGGAATCGCTTCGCTGTTTACAGAGCTTTGGTGCTTTGAGGTTAATTCTTGGGGCGTCCAGCTTGCGACTAAACCCTACCTATGGTCTTCGATTGTACTTCCTTTTTTGAGTTAACTATAGTTTTAAGGTCAGGACTCCAAAATATGAAAACTAGTTAACTAAAAAGGAACGACAATGGAGACTATAGGTAAACCCCAAACCCTGACGGTTTGGAGCAGTTGAGGGTTGGGATTTGTTTATGTGTTCGAGTATAGCTAGGGTCTAGGGTTTGTAGGGTTTAGTTCAGAGGTGTTGGCAGGATTTGGTTTTCAAGAGGTTCACGTCGGTCCGCAAGCGGAGTTGCCTTGAGTTGTTAATCTTTCTTGTGATCCATGGGGGTAGTTCGCTAAATTAGGCTCCCTTTTTAGGTGCCCGATGTAGTTGCTTGTTTGCTGGCTAATACGGGCTGAACATCATCTAACAATGTCTTGTTGACCTGGCACGGCGCAGCTTGAAGTACCGTGGATGCACGCAGCGCAGCTTTTGCTCAAGTGACAAGATTGTTCTTATACCCCTCTCCATTCGCTGATTCACGCCATGTGTCCAGTCAAGGCTCAAAGGTCAGCGGGGCGACCAGATGGCTCTCGGACCTCGACGAGGACAACTTTGTCTTTTCCTTGGAGGCTTTGGTTACTTTGGCCGACATGGTGACAGCCAACATCCGGAACCAAATGCGCTTCGTCATTGGTGACGTGAGATTTCGTGAAGGCAAGCCGTTTCTCATGGCGAATCGCGTGTTCGAGTTACCGGAAGGCTTCACGGAAGACGCACTGCCCAGGAGCGTATGTTGAAAGAGATCCAGGCTATCGTCATGCCAGAGAGGACGGGCGAAAAGAGGAAGGTCACGTCGCTCATGGATGCGCGCCTATGAGGAAGCAATTTTACAATGTTTAACAAGCTTCCGCGGTGGTCGGTCTAGCAGCTTTTGCCCCGTACGGCACCCTCATAAAAAGGACCCTAAAGAGACCCTGATCTCGAGAGCTACCCATGTGGTTGAAGGACCGTTCGGTTTAGGGTTTAGGACACCCAATGTTCAGGTCCGGAGCGGACTCGGACAGCTTCTGCAGACCTTTCCTTTGCTCAATAGACCGGGTTAGTCAAAACGCTTGTCTATCTAACCGAAAACGAAGGATTCGGTCGTTTTCGACAAGAGGTTTTGGCAGGATGTTTTTGGCGCTGGCTTGTCTAAACTTCGGCAGAACACGAGTTGTCGAATTCAGCAACTCGGCCCAACCGAACTTCCATCAAACTTCCTCGCCCAGGCCCCTAAA